GGTTAATGCAAAGAAAATTTACAAAGTACTAAAATACCAAGCAGTGGAGGAATAGCCAAATGAATTATTTAGTTCTTGAAAATCCTGTTTTTTAAAGTAGTTTTGTGTGATCAGAGAAACGTTCATGATTTTTTTGAGAAATATAAATAATTGAAACCTATAGTGTACAAATTATATTTTCAGTATAATTGAGTTTCATTTTATATATATGTCTGTGTACACACATATACATGTGAAAAACTAAAAAGTAATTCACAGAATGTTAATTATCTCATGGTAATAGAATTGTGGTTGGTTTTTTAATTTTTTTATACATTGGCTAAATTTTCTAAGATGATTGTGACAAGGAAAAAGTCACTTTTGTTCATAGTCAGCTATCGTTCAGTAATAATAACAAAAGTAATAGTATTCATGGATTCCATTTGTGAAAGAATTATGTGGCCAAGTACTGCACTGAATGCTTTATGTTCAGAAATTTATTTGAGCTTTAATCGACCCTATAAAGTAAACACTGTATTTCTATATATATTTCTTATGTAAGATCACATGACTGTTGAGTGGGCCAATATTGGATCCCACATCTGACTCTAAAGCCCAAATCAATGAATTTTTATGATATATTGAATAGAGTTGACTTTTAAAAATTGTGGTAAAATCCACATGGTGTAAAAAAATTTACTGTCTTAACCTTTTTTTAGTGTACTGTCAGTGTATTAAGTACATTTATATTGTTGTGCAGTAATCCCCAGAACTCTTTTTCATCTTGTAAAACAGAAACTTTATGTCCATTAAACAGCTCCTCATTCTCCCCTTCCTCTGCCCCTGGTAACCTCTATTCTGCTTTCTATCTCTATGAATTTAACTACTCTAGGTATCTCATAGGAGTGGAATTTTATAGTATTGGTCTTTTTGTGACTGGCTTATTTCACTTAGCAAATGTCCTCAGGGTTTGTCCATTCTGTTTGTCCAGAATTTCCTTCCTTTTTAAGGCTGTATAATAGTCCATTGTATGTATATAACTCATTTTGTTTATTCATCCTTTGATGAACGCTTGGATTGCTTCCATCTTTTGGCTTTTGTGAATAATGTAGCTATGAACATAGGTGTATAAATATCTCTTCAGTTCCTACATTCAGATCTTACAGATATATGCTCAGAAATGGAATTGCTGGGTCATGTGGTAATTCTATTTTTAACTTTTTGAGGAATTGCCATACTGTTTTTTACAGTGGCCACCTCATTTTGCATTCCTACCAACAGCGTACAAGGGTTCTAGTTTCTCCAAATCTTCACCAACACTTATTATTTATGTTTTTTGGTAGTAGTCATCCTAATGAGTGTGAGGTTTGTTTTGTTTTTTGAGTGCGAGGTTTTAATAGACTTGATGTTTAAATTCTTCAGACCTTTCTAGGATGAATAAATAATTAATAAACAAATATCATATATATATCATACACTTAATCAGTTGAACTACTAATATTTGTGTTCAAAATTAAGAGCATTATAATAACCAAAAAGTTGAAAGAACTCAAATGTCCATTATCTGATGGATGGATAATAAAATATGGCATATTCATACAGTGCAGTATTGGCAATAAAACGCATGTATTGATACATGCTACAACATGGCTAGATCTTGAAAACATTGTGGTAAATGAAAGAAACCAGACACAAAGGCCATATATTGTATGATTCCATTTATATAAAATATCCAAAATAGATAAATGTGTAGAGACAGAAAGTTTTTGCCAGAGGCCCAGAGCAGGGTGTGGAGGGGCCAATGGGGATGAATGGTGAGTGACTACTAGTGGGTATGGAGTTTCTTTAAGTATAGGAAGGTACATGTGAAAAAAAAAATCAGGAGAAAAATGAAGTCTTTTCATCTCTTTTTGGAGATAGAGTGTGTACAATTAAACAGTTTTCATAAATTTTGAAATTATGGGGGAAAGAAGTTTATAGAACATGAATGAGAAGAAAACAATTTAGAAAAAAATTAAATTGTTGATTTTTCCTAGTGGGAGATTTTCTGTAGCTTTTTAAGTTTTAGGAATACTACATATATAATATAGTTGCTTTTAAAAATCATAATTTTTAATATGATTCAATGTATGCTTTATTCAGAAAATAATTACAAAATTATTAATCATAGAAGCATTTCGAAATGCATAGTGCTTGAAAATTCATGCTTTTTCTCCCTTAACATTGTGCAAGTACTTCCAAATGTTAGAAGGTAATCACCATTTGGTTGAAGAAGAAAAATCTAATTCAGTTGCTAACTTCAATATAAACATAGATCTAGTCATATTGTTTGCCTAGCTGTAATTCTAAAGCAACTTGGATTACAATACTTAGATTAGCTGATTTTTCCACGAAACATTAGGTGAGGGAAAATTCTATTGTTTTATTTAGGTTTTGATAGGAACCTGTTATTGACAGGAACCTGTAGTATTATACTAACATATGTTATAGTTTCAATGTCACAGAGCCAGGAGGAAATGGTTCTCTCCTTCTTACCAACCCCAAAGCTTGGATTTCCTCTCCTCTGTCCTGAACTTTCTGAACACAGGAAACAAGAATTTATTTTTTATACTTTCTAGAATAAATGGGCAAGGCCTGTACTTTCCTATTGTAAGACCTGTCTGAATGTCCAGTGCAACTGTACCAACCTTTAGCTTATAACTAAGGTCAGTGAAAAGCTGCCCATATTCAAACAAGGCTCAGAAAACATCTCAGCCCACTCCCTTATATTCTACCACACCCAAATTTTGCTTTTGTATGTTAGAATTGTATTGCTGTTTAAAAGTAGAAACTTGGTTTAGGGGAAGAAAAATTCGCTTTGAATACCATAGAGTTCCTATCTATACCTGATCCCTCTTTGAATTATTTAACTTAAAAATTTTCAGTTCTTTACTATTTTTCAAGCATGTAGGTAATGTCACAGGTCTGATAACTGAACTTTTGAATGCCTTTTTATAATATAACGTTACTTTTAATTATTTAGGTTTGTGAGAAGTATCTTTTACTACTTAAAGGGTAGCATCTTCTGGTATCCAAAGGAGCTCTTGGTCATGGTTGTACTGCTGGAGAACATGTTTTTTTTGGTTCCCTGGGGACAGCATCAAAGAGTCCAACAGCAGCTGTATCAACAGAAATATGCTTGTACATTATTGTGATTTTAAAAGTACTTTGAAGATTGGGCATTTTGCACCAAAATAGCAGCTTTGTTGTCTGAAATAGAGATTTGGCAAAGCTACTTCAAAAAGAAAAATGGTGTTTTCAGTTCCTCGTTTCATTTACACATCTGACTGTTTAAATATATGGTATTTATTCACCAAAAATGCCTTTAAATTTTGTTTCATGGTTAGAAACAGTCTGTCAAATTCTAACAGGTTGTCTTGTACACTTTGACTAGAATCGATAAGCCCCCAGTCTTTATCAACTGTAGGCCTGAACTGTCTCTCAGCAATACACTTGAAACCTTTTTTCCTCCCTTTCTCTTCTAATACTTTGGGAACCATATAGCAAAAGAACAAAATGTTTCTTGTGTGATTTCTGGTTACCTTCCTCTTCATAATGAATTGGTAGTAGCTTTGTTAAGGAACCTTTCAATCAGTGCTTTTCTGTTGAATATAATCCTGAGTGATTACATTTTCATTTAATTCCTTTCCCTTAAGAAGGCAACACTTTATGAAATTTATATATGTAAACTAATATTCTTAGAATCCTGTCAGTAGGGGAGGTTCACAATATCTTATTGAGAAAATTAAGAATGAGAGTAATTATTTTCTTCAAAACCACTAAAGTGAGACAAAAATCCTGATTTCCTGATCTTAGTGATATGATTTGTGTATTAGGTTGCTTCAAAGAATTTTAGAAATTGTCTGGCTGGGTTCTGAAATTTTAAATAATTTATACAGATTTTTGAGTATATTCTGTGTCAAAATTATAAACGCTGAAACCTCAGCTTTTGAAAATTCCTAAGGAATTAATTTAACTAGTTATTTTCTGGCTAAAGAACAATTTATACCTTTGTGAAAGTTTTCTTTTAATTATTTTAACCAGGTACAAATGAAAACAAATTTCATACCTACTTTTCTCCTTATACATAATTGACTGAACATAACGGCTTAATGATTTGGTAATTTATCTGATAATGTGGTATTATTATTTTGCTTTAATATAAAATGCCAGTTGAGCCTTTTTTCTTCCTCTAATATTTATTGAATACTTACTGTGAGCTAGGCACTGCTGTAGACATGATATCGATATAGTTACAGACTAAATAGTCTCAGACTGCAGGGCTTTGAATTTGTGGCTGAATCTATGGTTTCTCCTTCTTGCCATTATTTAGCATAATGTTAAGAGCGTGAGTTCAGGAACGAAGCTGTTAAAATTTGTATCCTGGCTCTACTACTGGTTAGACATGTGACCATAACCACAATGCCATTCAACACTTGAAAGAATAGTAATTTTTAATGCCATAAAATGATTCTTCGATTGTCTTGTAAATGTATAACCCTTCTTTGCCTCAATTTTTCCATCTGTAACCGAGGCCAGTGATGTAACCTACTTCATAGGGTTGTTGTAAGGATTAAAAAGGACACATGTAGAATGTTTGGAATAGGCCTGGCACAGTGCTATAGAAAATGTTAGTACAATGAATACTATCATTACTAGGACTTCACAACACTGTCAGACTTCTTGCCCCATCTTCTCTTTAAATTTCTTTAATTTGGGAAAACAGATAACCAAACTTGTTAGAACTAAGCACAAAAGAAAATAAAAGTAAATTGACTGTATGAAACCTGAGATTTCCCTCCCTCTCAAAGAAAACAAAAAAAAAGAATGTATGATGTATGCTTTGGCATTACATTTTGGATTTTGGCTGCTGAGAACCTTTTTTTCTTAGACATAGCCTTTAATAGACCATGCTTATAAATGAAACATGAATAAGAAAAAATATGAAGTAAGGTTTATCTTAATATGACTTACTTTTTTAGGGAAAAAGATCTTGAAGAAGCTCTGGAAGCAGGAGGTTGTGACCTTGAAACTTTGAGAAATATAATTCAAGGGAGACCACTGCCTGCTGATCTGAGAGCCAAAGTTTGGAAGGTAACTAGAAACTAAAATGAATAAAATATAATACCAAAATGAATCAA